TCTCCGCGCGTATCCGACATATATATATTTGAAGAAAATGCATTCTCACAGTGTAAATACGGGTTCGAGATAAGCTTACTCAGCGGATTCTAATAAAACGCGGTGAGATTCGCCAAGAGAGAGAGAGAGAGAGAGAGAGAGAGAGAGGGAGAGAGAATCGTTCGGGAGAAAATTGTTCGGCGAAATGTGTTCACTCCGCCGGCGGAGTATATCGATATGAAAACGATAGATAGAATTGACGGCAGAGATCTCACGTACTTCGTACACTCCGGCGCAACATCGTAAATACGATACGATCACGTTGGCGCGGCCATGTATGAAAATTCTCAACACCTGCGGCTGTGGCTGTCACGAGTAATCTCGCGCGAACCCGAAAAAAAAAAAACTTTTACTCACGTCGCGTAGTACATCTCCGGCTGCCGTTGTCGGTTCCATCCGAACAGAAAACGACAAGATCACGCGCGTAGAGAGGTAGAGAGAGAGAGAGAGAGAGAGAGAAAGATAATCTCTCCGCGAGAAATTTCCCGATGAAAGACCTTCTCGAGATGAGAGCCGGGCGAGACTGTGTCGTACATCATTTCGCGCTCGTCGTCTTTCGAGGCGCTTAAAAAGAAGTTCGCAGATTGAATAAACAAGCGAACGCGGGAGAGTAACATCCGTGTTATTTAGAAAGTTTTAATTGAAATATGAACGTCGTCGTGTCAAACGTTGCCGCGCTATAACCTACCTATTCGCATCGTACTGTAATTCAAATCTCGGACGGAGAGCTTATTTTTGTGAAAATGTCGTTTCTGCCCGAGTTTCCGTCCAATAAAAACGGGCGCACTTACAATTAAAACTGACGTATTTTCAACTGTGAAAAAAAAATATATTCGATATTTCTCCAAATGCAAAAATAAAATTATCCTACATCATTTTTCGCGCGTTGTTGCACTCGCTTTTCCGAGTCGATGTTTTTCGCACAAAATTTTATTCTCGGTGTTTTTATTCTCTCTGAATATTTGCATTACAGAATCACGAATGCAAATCGGTGAAAAAAAAAAAATAAAAAAAAAAAAAGAAATTCGTTATCGGGGATATTGGGAGACGGCGTGTTGGAACAGTATTTGCGAGCAAGCAAGCAACTGTCGCACTTTGCGAGAAACCACACGAACGTGGGCAGCGGCTAATAACTGACATTCTATTAATAGAAAGCGCTTGGAGGCGTATACTCTCTCTGTTTTACGGATCGATTCAACGATCGAACGAACGATCGATCGATCGTTCATTCGATCGGGGCCAGAGCTCGACGATTTCGCGCGACATTCATGTCGCGTGTACGTACGTATGTACGTACGTACAGTTACGTGCGCGTATGCACGCGATCGTGCAATGTACTTTGCGTGGGTAGAACACATTTTTTTCGCAATCAGTTTGCGAGTGTTCGTCGCGCAACCACATGAGCCGTGCTGATAATGCCAATTTTAAATCCACTCATCAGCTAAAATTTTATCTCGCGACCTGATAAAAACGAAAAAGTAGCGCAGATTATCTTTTTGTCGCATAAAAAAGATTTATATAATTGTGGACTCTCCGATAAATTTCTCATTCTCTTTGCATACATAGTTAAAGTACATTTATTTATAAATGCCTCGGTTCTCTTTACATATACACCGGTAAATAAATTTACATTTCCTCTACATTGTCAGCAATAAATTTATTTATTTAAAGTACACGTTATATATGTATAAATTATAATCAAGAATTGCTTGCCAGCCGAAAGAGCTGAATACATTACATTGCGCGTTAGCGTTTGAAAAATTAATAAAACCAAGTTAACGTCCTCAATTAATGATTCAGGAAGAATAGTTTGCACTCCGCTGCTTTTTCGTTGCGAATAAATTATCTGCGACTGTTATATATTAGCCGTGCGGATTAAATTAACCACTTAACTTATTGTCAATCGCGAGATATGCAGATAAAAGCCGCGAGACGACCAGTCCCGAGAAACTAGTCTCGCTAACATCGACTGCTATCTTTTCGATATACTATATTTCTTGATAAACGTTCTCGAAGCGGGTGTAAGATCAACCCCCCAGGCGGGGAACGTCCGCGTGCGCGAAAGTAGCGGACGCGGCGAGCAGTCTCGAAGACGCGAACACGTCGTCGTTGTCGTCTTCTTTCGCGCGCATCCTCCTCTCGGCATCAGTCCGGTCCGATTGAGATAAACCGGTATAGTAGCAGCTCGGTCACTCTAGCGCTCGCCGCTTTACTCGAGCACCTACACACGAACTGGTTCTCGAGAAACGGCGTCGCCGTTTCCTGCTCCCGATCTCCATCCCGTTCGTCCCTCTCGTTAAAAGCGTACGTAAAAAAATGTTAAAACATGTACGCACAAATGTTATTAATGACATGCGCGTTACGATACAAATTTCGTGGAACAAGTGTGGGTATATCCTGCTGTTGCTTTTTTTGTATTTCTCTCTTATATTTTCTTTTCCTTTTTTTTTTTTTAGTCTCTTTCTTCATCGAATATGGCGTGCGACTTTTCCTGCTTCGGAAGAAAGGTTTGTTTTCTTTCACCGAACTAGAGAGAAAGATGCCGCAAAAAAAAAAAAAAAGGCGTTTCTTCAGCCCTGAAAGCGCCGTTAGTCTCTCTCACCTCCGCGAGCGCGAACCTGTAATTTGTATATCATACAAGTCGTCCCGCGAGTGCGCGGTTTCGTGCGAAGGAACGATCCGCGCGCTTATAACGCGCGGTGTAACGAGCGCGACCGGCGGGCAAGTTTCAAGCATCATTCGATCTCTCGCCGCGGATAAAATAAATCGCGCGAACACGTTTCGCGCGACGATGATTTTCAGAAAATAAGTAATTTCGTACTTCCCGTAGCGCGGCAATTCCACACACGCGATTTTAATCGTATAAGACACGTATAATAATCTCGCGCTACATCGCACACACCGGAGTTCGAAATCGTCTAGTTTTTATATCCGGAGCCGGTCTCACCGACTCCGATTAAACGTTAACCGGCCAATGAAATTTACGTGTTGCCACCTCAAAACTGGTTGCGCCTAATCTAATTTCTTAACAGCTGTCAAGAAAGTTCTAAGTTCTTGCAAATTGGCAATTTGTACATTTAATTGGATGATTAAGTTTTACCACGGTGAAACCTTAATATCTCCCCCGATGACATAGCGCGCTACATATATTATTGTTTAAGATTTCCATTTTGTAACAAAAAACACGTGAGATTTGCTTTGAAATGTCATAGTATTGAACAACGTTGAAATATCCGGCTTGGTGGAGAAAATATTCGCGAGAAGTTTGTCACAAAAATTAATCCTCGCACGCAACGCACCTTTCTGCGAATCCGTAATATAGCATTTACAAGCATCCCGTATTGTGAGTCGACGATTCAACTTTTTGTCTCGATCCTTTTAACAGCAAGTAGGCGACTGACTCGGTTAAGGAATCGATCTTTCATGTAGTTCGACGAGCGTCAATGAGACGTGGCCGTTACTTTCTCGTCGTTTTTCTTTCGCGAAAATCGCGTCGCAAAACAAGAAGAGAAAAACCTCCAATTGAGCTTTCTCGGTTAGCGCGTGGACTCTTTTCTCGGGCGCGAAAATGGATCGGATCCGCTTTTGCAGCCGTCGTACGTTATCCAATTTGGCGCGTCGCCAGGACGTCTCCTGACGTTAGAAACCGGCTGTCGCAGGAACGAACGGACGGTGCATTGCACCCTTCTTCAACCGTGGGTCCGTGTTGTGTCTGTACGACGTCGTCGTCGTCGACGTTGCGAGCGTTGTCGACGTCGTCTTCTGCAATACGCGCTCTCACCGCGCAAAGTCACTCGCCACCGCTTTCAACGCTTTATTTTCTCCTTCCCTTCTGTTTTATCGCCGTTTATTTCGCCACGTGCTCCGACGCGTTTACTCCCGAACCCGTTCGCAAAAAACGATCGAACGAAAGGCCTCTCTCTCGTTTAACCGCAAATATCTCGTTAAATTTGATCGATGATTGGAGAAACTTTGAGGTATTCCCGAATGTGTGTCGAATAAGATTTAAAGTTACGGTTAAAATATCCCACGCGATTAATCGGAAGATGATTACGGGATTCGAGCTTCAGATGGTGTTGTAGAACACAACACGTTTCGACAAAAAAAAAAAAAAATGGACAGACTTATTATTAAGACTCTGATATATTGTCGTTGCGAGCGTGAGATCATAAATTATCGCGTCAAAATGTGACAATCCGATGATGCGATTTCATCATCGTCAAAGCGATCGAAAAAATATATTATCGGCACAAAGTAGATCCTCACTCCGAGCCTTCAATTTTGATCTCTACGAAACGTTTTTTTTTCCGGAAGACGTTTTCCAGAAAACTCTCGTTATTGAAGTTGTTACTGCGTGTTACGACGAACAATAAAGAACAAATTCTATACTGCCCGCGGCTAGTTATCGTCGTTCTCCAACTTCTCGGCGAGGATTGTGAGCGATTTCGATTTTACTGCGAAAAGCCGAACATCTGGGCAGTTCGTTATTCGCTTATTGATCTTATATGTTGAAACTCGAACAATTTCGAGGAATCACGCGCTTCTCTGTTAATTAATGTAAATTACTGTGTGAGCTTCTCGCTTCTAGTTTAACTGGTAAAAACATGAATATGTTTAAAACAATAATATGTGCTTCTATGATATGATACGTTGTAATAATAATAATATATAATATTACCTTCAATATAATATTTACTCAGTTTGTTTGTACAAATTTCTACGCAAACAGATAAATTTCACACAACTAATGTATTTAATTGTATTAATTTATACACGCAAAACACATTTGTAAATAATATAGGAAAGTATATTACTCTACACAAGTTGTGTGTTAATTAAATAACAAATTAAATAATTCTATAAAATTATACGTACAAGATAAATACAGCTGTGCAGATTTTGTGTTAAATAAAAAAATTTCAAGACAAGTGTTGCGAGACGAAAATGTAATATATGCATACCGCGCTCCAACGACGACTTGCTGCCGCGCCACGTCGAAGAGCAGCTGAGAATAAGTTGTGACTCCTTCTTGTCGAAACATGCTGGTATCCGCTAAATCTGTAACACAACGAGACATGCGACTTACAGACACGCGAGCTCAAGGACATATTGCTGAGAAATACTGTTAAAATAAAATCTCTTACGTGTAATTGACGTGCGTGACTTTACAAAAACACATTGTGAAATTATATTTTAACTTTTGAGACTGTGTTTGAAACAAGATCTTCGGTGGACGTAGGTTTTGCGCGTTTGGTTTCGTCGTCGTCGCGAGACTAAACAGAGCGAAACACGCGCGTCGCAAGCAATAAGTGAATAATCGAAGGTACGATTTCGCGGCGACTAGACAATCTTGTCTACCGTATACCTCATCTCTTATTCGATTGAAGTGCGTATATCCGTTAGGAAATTAGTTTTTTTTTTTTTTTTTTTTTTTTTTTTTTTTTTTTTTTTTTTTTTTTTTTTTTTATGTATACTAGGTCAGTTTCTCGCATTATTCCAGTTGAGAAAATTCTTCCGACACGTATTATGTACAAGCGAAACGCCGCTGAAATTTTTCTGCGGTAAAACGTGCTTAATCAATAAAACATAATAGATAAGAATCTCGAGTAAATAGACAGACCAACGTCTCAAGAGTAGCTTGCGAAGTTTCGATCCTCAATCCGGGAGGTGAGAGAACCGGTACGCAGGTGCTAAAAGTCGGCTCGAGGTGTCATAATTACCGAATCGAGTGTGTCGAAAGCGGCTTTCTTTTTTCGCTCCCGGTAGTTGTTTACCCGTAATAGCTCGTAATTCAAGTTAGATCAACACGGCCTACACCTACGGGCGACAACACGAGTTTTTCGTCTCTTTAGGGAGAGGTCGCGTGTTTCTTCTGACTGAAACATCAGCGAGCCTCGAGTGGATAATTTGTCGGCCGCACAAACGCTATCAGTAATTTAATATTTTGTAACATATGCTTTTGAACAATAATCGAGCCCACTTTCTCAGTCGCTTCGAGTATTATTATTTCATTACGTGACGTTCTTTGCAAAAATTATTTCTCCCTTATTCAAACTGTGGTCCGAACTTATTACGTCGTCGTGTCGAATTTTTTCCGAGATATTCAATCAAAATTCGTAGTAAATCATCAGGCAAATCCTCAAAGAGGCGAGTGTTGCGTGTTTCACGGTTTGCGTGAAATCACTCACAACGAAGAACGCACACGCTCGTGCGTTCTCAGAGTAATTCTGAACATTATTGAGAATATGTACGTAGAGAAATTTTCTCGAGACAAGGACCACCTTGCGCGACGATAATTGGCGGCTCGTAGAAACAGAAAGGAAGAAGCGATTTACCTCGATTTTCTTTCATATGACTTTTCGTTGACACCGCGTGCGCTCTTTGCGTTCTTCGCGCCGATGTCACGTGTATATGATATTCCGTACGCGCGCGCGGCGTATTCGAGTATGTATGTACGTGCGCTATCGAGATATAACGATCGAACTTACTAAACTCGCCACGTGAAGCAAACCTTCGATCCTCACAGCGGAGGAGAGAAGCAAAGGACGGAGGAGGAAGTATACGCCGGTGAATGCCGACAGAAAAGGAAGAACCGCAAAGAACATGCCGGGCGTTCTTCTTCCGTTGCTATATAAACGCGCGCGAAGCCTTTTCCTCTCCTCTCGCTCAACTCACGCTACTTGTACACAGTTTGTCCGGAAAGTTCCCGGACTGATTTTTTCTAGCGCGGGTAAGCGGCGCTATCGAGCGGTCAACGCTGGAACTACTTAGTA